GCCGTCTTGGGGCGGTCTTGGGGGCCTCTTGGGCCGTCGTCAACGGCGTGAAAACCGAAAAGCCGTAGATGCTAAACATGTACCTCTTCCCATAGGAAATCCATGATTTGGGCCTCCTGGGGCCTCTTGGTGGCCTCTTGGGGGCTTCTTGGGGGCCTCTTGGGGCCTCCTGGGGCTTCTTGGGGCGAAAGGCTAAACTTTTCGGTTCATGGTCTCTCTCTTGGGGCCGTCTTGGGGCCCTCTTGGGCCGTCTCGGGCGCCTCTTGGGCCGTCTTGGGGCCCTCTTGGGCCGTTTTGGGGGCCTCTTGGGACGCCCCTTGGGCGCCCCTCGGGGCTCGGAAGCCTCTTGAGCAGTCTTTGGGCCGTCTTGGGCACGTTGGACCGTCTTGGAGCCGTCTTGGACCCCTCTTGGACCGTCTTGAGCGCTCAAGACGGCCCAAGAAGCGCCCAAGAGGCCTCCAAGACGCTCCGAAGACGCCCCGAGCGGCCATCAGATCACATCCCCCCGCTCCTCCCCCCTCCCCTGGACCCCTCCCTAGAGGGCTTCGCCCAAACACAACGTCATCACTCGTACCTCGCTCTTTACGTTACCTGCTTGGCACGGGGACGGAAAGCGCATTTACTTTCAGAGCGCGAGATATCGCTGGCTTGCCCGTTCGTTCTCTCTGTCTCCCCGTCTGGGGGCTCTCTTGGGGCATCTTGGCGGCATATTGGGCGCCCTCTAGGGCTATCTCGAAGCTGCAGGAGGCCTCTTGAGGGGGAACCAGGGCTGGTGGGCATCTTGGGAAGGCGCTAGAGCGCGATAAAACACGGATGAAGATTAGGATAGTACAGTTGATGATGACGACGACATACTGTCTCTTGGGAGCATCTTGGGCGTCTCCCAGGCCCTCCTTGGGCCGTCGTGTGGCTCTCTTAGGCCCTCATGGGGCCCTTCTGGGCCGTCCTCGGGCTGTCTCGGGAGCCTCTTGGGCCGTCATGGTACAATATCGGGGGGCTCTGGAGCTGTATCGGACCGTTCTTGCCGGAATAGGCGAGGAGCTGGAAAACCTTCATACACCTAGAGGCAAACATGGTTTAACCGTCCTTAAGCACTTTTGGGGGTCCTCTCGGGTGCCGCTTGGGGTGTCTTAGAGGCCTCTTGGGCTGTGCTGAAGCTATCTTGGGCTATCTTGGATCGCTCTTGGGCCGTCTTCGCTCCCGTCTGGGCCTCTCTCACGCCGTCTTGGAGGTGTCTTAAGCTGGCGAGGAGCTTATGCAGGCAGGGCGGGGCCAAGGGCGCCCCCCGGGCGGCGAAAGCCCTACTTTCGCTTTTTCCCGCTTAGACCGCCCATCGGTGCTCGGGGGGGGTCTTGGAGACCTCTTGAACCGTATTGAGGCCGTCGTGAGCTATCTGGATCGCTCTTGGGCCGTCCTCGGGCCCGTCTGGGCCTCTCTACGCCGTCTTGGAGGCCGTTGAAACCGTCTGCATACGTGCAGATGTTCGAACACGTCTTGGGGCTGTTTTGGGGGTATCTTGGGCCATCGTGGGGCGATCTTACGAGCCTCTGGCCTCTTGGGTCGTCTTGGAGGCATCTTGGACCGTCTTGGAGGACGCTTGGCCTCTCATGGGCTGTCTTGTAGGTACCTCAAATTGACGAGGACTTTGCGCGCTTACGCGAAGCCTACGCGGAGCATACGCGAAGCTTACGTTGCCGCCCGTTTCGGGCCCTGGTATCAAGAACTGGTTGCGTCACCGCTCTCTGTTGGGAGCCTTGGTCTTGTCAGCTTGTTTACGTCACTGCTCGCTCTTGTGAGCCGCGGTGTTCAGGGTCCGTTAACGGTCCGTTCACATGGAACTCTTTTGCCTGTTAACGGTCCGTTAACAAGGAAAAAACGCGTCCGTCACATATGGGCCTCTGTCGTGCCAAGTTCTATGTCAGTATTTGCTCTTTTGGAAGATTCCCGAGTGCCTTCGGCCCAGCCCGCGAGCCACCCTGAGAGCTGAGTAAAAACCTCAACGTGCACAAACAGAAAGTCAAAAGACGGCCAAGATGGCCCAAGATGGCCGCCGAGATGCCTCCGAGACGGCCAAGATGGCCTTCAAGACGACCCAAACATGTCTCCAAGACAGGCCGAGATGCCCCCAAGGTGGCCCACCACTGCCCCAAGATCGCCCGAGACGGCCTCCGAGACGGCCCAGGAGGCCTCCAAGAGGACCTCCAAGAAGGCCCGAAGGGGTCAAAATCATCGATTTGCCATACGTTTTGGGCGGACTTGAACGTTTGCTCAGAGCTTCGGCTGCCCGACAGCCCAAGACGGCCCCAGAAGCCAAACACGGCAACTTTCGAGGACATCCGAATTCCGAGTTCCCCCCTTCTTGTCCTGCTGCTGCCCTCTGCGTGCTCATTTCGGTACAACTCTCACACGTTGCGTGGCCCCACAGGGAGCTCCACCCGAGGCCCCCGTGGCACAGTCCGCATGCGTCCCCCCGCCCAGTTCGGCACGCCCCTCACACGTCCCGTGGCTGCACAAGGGGCTCCCCCCTCTTTCGTCCCACCTGCCCTGCGATTCTCACACTTGCACATGGCGGGGTCCTCCGCCCAGAATCCGCCGGCCCCCTTGCGGGGCCACCAGGCTGCGAGGATGAGGATTGCAGCTCCCTGTTCCAGCTGCAGTTTCCAGTTCCCATTGTTACAGTCCTGCTTTCTGCTTTCTTACTGTAATTGTTGGTGAACGCGCGAGGGGGGGAGCCCCAAACCAGCTTTCTTACGTCCAGCTCGCGTTGTCTGAATTCCTGGGGGGGCGTGGGACATGTAAAAATACATGAGATTCGCGTCCCCGAGGCCATCATCCCGAGTACATTGCACCATATTCGCGTCCCCGAGGCCATACACCTTTATACATTACGCAATGTTCGCGTCCCCGAGGCCACAATCCCTCATACATGACTCAACATTCGCGTCTCCGAAACCATAAGCTCTTGCAGATTATACAATATTCGCGCCCCCGAGACCATAAGCCCATGTACATGATATGAGATTCGCGCCCTCGAAGCCATAAACCTTTGACACATATACACGATTCGCGTCCCCAGGGCAATCAACCTTTGTAAATAACACCGTACTTGCGTCCCCGAGGCAACAAGCCCTCGCAAATGATATCAGATTCGCGTCCCCGAGGCCTCACAACCTCGTAAGTTACACAATATTTGCGCTCCCGATGTCATAAACCTTTGTAAATTACCACGTATTTGCGTCCCTGAGGCCACAAACCCTAGTACATCATACAATCGTCGCGTCCCCGAAGCCATAAACCCTCGCAAAGTATACAAGACTCGCGCCACCGAAGCCATGAACCCTCGTATTGGCCCTCGCGTGCGTCCCGACATGGCTTCACGTCAGCGTCCAGACATCACCACACAGCTCTGGCAAGCCCCATTCTAAGAGAGGGGGACCAGCGGCAAAAACCATCACCATCTCCAAAACATTTGGAGAGTACGAATAGTTTTTCGGCTCCAGTGCTGATAGCAGACCGAGTTCGGGCGTCTAGATACTTTAGACTAGCGCGCCTGATTATTGCCTTCTGATTGCTGTGCCGAAGAGCCCTTTAGCTCATCTGAGGCTCGAGTTAAGGCGAAGCCCTCACGGATGATACACGTTGTTGAACGATTTCGGCGTTTCTTCACTCTCGTCTGTCCGACCGCCCAAGACGTTCCCCAGAGGCCAAGAGCGCCCGAGAGGCCTCCGAGAGGGCCCCCCTGACGGCCAAAGGGGCCCCCCAAAAGCGGACCCGAGAGGGCCTCAAGAGCCCCGCAAGACGCCCAGGAGGGTCTCCAGGACGGCCCTGAGGCGCCCCAAGAGGGCCCCGAATCGGCCCAGAAAGGCACCCAAGACGGTTGCCGACGGCGTCAGACGGGCCAGGAACGCCCTCAGGGGCCAAAGAGCTTCTCAGCCTCCCAAGGAGCCTCCAACGGCTCCCAAGAGACCCAAGGAGCCCCCCAAGAGTGCCTCCATGAGGCCCCCAGGAAGCTCCTACGAGACCCCAAGAGTGCCCCACGAGGCCTCCTCCTCCTCCTACTCCATTTTCCTCTCTCTCTTCCTCGTCTTCTTCTTTCTCCCTCCACGTCTTCCCCGGAGGGTTTCCACAAAGGCGCGGGCACTACGTAGTCCGATAGCTTGGCCAAGCCGCAACGTTTGGCCGCATAGACTCTTCCAGAAGGCGGTGATTCGCCGTAGGCGTCTTCGATCCGCCACCCCCGATGGTCGTGCCAATGGGGTGCACGGCGTGCCAACTGTCAAATGTTGGGTAGTATTGGATATTTAAAACAGGTCCCATGGAGCTCTGGCTGATCGCGCCAGCCACCCTGAACATGGCCCCAACGGAGCCCAAGATGGCTACACGATGCATTCCAGACGGCCTAATCAAGATTGCCCCAGGCGGCCCCGGAGGTCCCCAAGACGTCTCTGAGACGACCCAAGAGACCTCCAAGAGGTCTTCCAGGAGGGCCCGAGGAGACCAACATCATTGATGTGCTCGTGGGCGTTTGACAAATTGTGTGGCATTTGCTTCTTTTCGGCTGCCCGGCGACCCAAGACGGCCCAAAAGGCCCCCAGAGAGGCCCCCAACGGCGACAGGCGGGCCAGGAACGCCCTGAGACAGCCAAGGAGGCCTCACAGAAGCCCCCACAGACTCCAAAGAGGCCCAAGAAGACCCCCAAGAGGCCTCCAAGAGTCCCATGCAGGAAGCTGCCAGGCAGTCCCAAGAGTGTCTCGAAAGAGCCTCCCAAGAGGCCTCCTCTTCCTCTTCCACCTCCTCCTCCTAATCCTCCCCCTCCTCCTCCTCCTCCTCCTCCTCCCTTTTCTGATCCTCCCCCTCATCCTCCTCCATGTGTTCCCCGAAGGGTTTCCTGAGCAGCTGGGGAAACTCATAGTGTGATAGCTTGGCCAAGCTCTGGCCAAACGTTTGGCCACAGAGGCGCCTCCCAACAACGCAAGGGGTGGCGGCGAGTCGCCGTAGGC